CTTTAAAATATTTGTTTCCAAAATGGTGGCAGATTTCCGGCTTAGTCCTTTTGCCAATTCTTTCTTCCCCACCCCTCCCTTCCTTTGCTTGCATTTCCATCTCAAGGAGGTCCTTTGCTGTTAGATCTTAAAAGGTCATTGGGCATTTATCTGGAGCAGACTTAGCCTTAGGTTGGGTACAGATGTTCAGGGAGGTTAGGGCAAGATTAGATCACATTAAAAATGGCCACCTGATCTAACTCAGTTTGCCCAGGTGAATACCTTACACTAGTTAGGTGGATCTACACATGAACTGTACAGAAGTTCAGGACAGTTAGATTGGCCTAAAATAGCTGACCCGATCTAAGCTAAGTGTACCTCAGAGGAAGACTTACTTAGCTGAAGTCTGGTGAGACTGATCTAACTAAACTTATGTACAGTTCCCAGTTAGTCCCAGGACTAGGAAAGCCCAGCTGCTGGCCCCACCCTGGGGCTGCACTTTTCTTACCCTACTCTGGCACCGGCGTATTCTTAGATCTCTGTCTGCCCCCCCAGTCCATCCCCTCTCATCCCAGGACAGACAACCCCATCATGGACCAACCAACCCCCCTCCCTCACTCACCAAGCACCCACATCCGTGCAAGCCACTTCCCATGCTGGTTTTATCAGGGTTTGCCGATACTGGGAGCTGAACAAATCAGGGTGCAGAGAGGGGTAGGAGGGATGGGGGTGTTCACTGGGGAGGGGTTGTTTGTCTGACGGTGGTGGGTCAGGGGGCTAAAAATAGCCCCTGACCCCAGGGTGTGGGGGAGAGAGCCTCCCCAAACTCCCTGTAGACCCCACAAGGTTCCCATGTCCTGCCAAACCCTCCCGGACCCCAGGAACTCCATGGACCCTGCCTGCCCTCCCCCTTAGATCGAGTGGCTATTTTTAATGCAATCTAACCTCCTTGAATGTCTATACGTAGCCTTAGTCAGCTCAATGCATTATTTTATCAAGGCACCATTTTGGTCTCATTTAATACAAGCCTACTGCTCAAGCCTATTGGATGCAGAATGATTTTTTTTTCCTGATTTAGACGTTGGCAGAGTGGCTGTATGAGATTATACACATTTTATAGCCTGCTTGTAAATTCAACCTTGAAATACTCAAGATTTAGGCCAACAATGTTAAGAGAACTTTTTTTTTTTTTTAATTCAGGAAAGGGGCTTCTTAGTCGTTCTGTCAGCTAGAAATTTGTTTCCTTCTACTTAAAGACATCTTACTCTTTTTCCATCTCTGCATGGCACTTATGAATAATTAGAAATGACACTTGGGTATTTTGAGTGTTTACTTTTTGAGGTGTGTACACATTACATGCACTTACAGTTGACTAATGTGCACTTGTGGCTCTGCAGCTGGCAGCCTGTGAGGATCAGCCTCCAGGATCTTTCCCCAGGTACCGCTCCACCCTCCTCCCCCACCTAATTGCTCCAGCTGCAAGAGCAGCCAGAGTCTCCAGGCTCCCCTTCCCTTTTTTGATTTTTGGCTGCCAGCCCCTGGCGGTGCAGCAGTGCAGTGTGGCACAGCTGGGGAGCTGAGAGTGAGCCTGGAGCCACATGGGCATATGCTGTAGGAATGAAGGGTAGAGCCTGGTTGGATGTGTGGTGCAGCAGTTGGAGAGGAGGGCAAAGGCATGCTGTACAGTGGTGGGGTGGGTACGGGTTAATGGTGCAGCAGTGAAGGGGAGGTGAGGGGCACACAGGAGTGTGATGCAGTCCAAAGGGCTCCCAGCCACATAAGTTTGTTACCTTTGTTTTAAGGTGTAATCCTTTTATGTTTTTAATTTGTAAGGTTGAGGCCTTGCTGTGCTTATATGTAATGGGGATTTTAATTTAGGTGCCTAGGTTTCAACACCTGTGCTCTAAACACCTTGGCCTCAATAATAAGCCTTTTAAACATATAATTTCAGAAGAGGCTTTTGTTGTTCAGACATCAGGTATAGGGAGCAGTTTTCTAAAAACTTACAAGATCATTTCAATTTAATTACATTCTTATCTCTTTCATAGTAATTGCAACTGAATTCAACTTGCTAAAGAAAACACAGCATATCTATTAAAATTTCATGTGGTAGGTCTTGTTCACATGCTTGCAGTTAAACTGATTGTGAGATTTGGGGTCAGGAAGGAGTGTGCCTGGCCCTCCCTCCAAGTCAGTTTGGCAAGAATTATTTGAGGGGTTTTTGCATTTTTTTTTTTTAGAGTATGGAAGCTGGTCCAAATGAACTCCTGGCCAAGATTTTGGCAGTACCCTCATTTCTCATTCTGTTCTGCAGCATATTGCAGGGTGTGTGTGTGTGTGTGTGTGTGTGTGGGGCTGTGTTTGGTGAGGGGCGGGAGTCACGTTAAGGACCCTTCCAGTCCTATGTTCCTACTGCTGCTTTGTTTAGTCCTAGTTTTCAGTTTGACACTATCCTTTTTTTCTCCTCTTACAGCTTGACAAAGATGACATGGTATACATGGAAGCGTATGATAAGTTGCTGGAGTCCTGGCTTACTTTGGTACAAGATGACAAACATTTCCATAAAGGCTTCTTTACCCAACATGCTGTTCAGGTTTTTAACTCTTATATTCAGTGCCACCTAGCTGCTCCCGATGGTACAAGGAATTTGGTAAGCTCTTAACCTAAGTTCTTTTGGGGGCAAGACTGAGTAGTCTGTTAGGTTAAGTACAGACAGTCAAAAAGCCCAAGTCTAAATTGATTCAATCTTTCAAGTTTTAAATTAAGTTATGTAGATTGCACCGATAAGCAAGTGAACAGACATTTGCTTTTGACTCTGGAAACACAGCGACATGCCTGCAGTGGCCCAGGCCAGAAGCAGGGGACACTAGAACATGCCTCCCTGCTCAGCTGGAACAGACAGCTTGGAACAAAGCTAGCCCACCCACCCTATGATGGGGGGTTTGCAGAGGAGGTGCAAAGCATCCTGGCATGTTGGGGGATTCTGGGTTAACTTGAATCTGGAGGGGATCAGGGACAGCAGTTCAATAAACTAATTTAATCTAACTCAGTTAAGTTTGATACTACATCCTTCTAGGTTTATCTTAAACTGGTTTCAGCCATTTGGAAAGTGGTTTATGTGCACTGAACTTCTGTTGTGTTACAGATTTGAACTGGTTTCCAATCACTTGTACTGATTTATGTGGAATTTCTGTCTCTAGTCCAAGTATATACATAAGTAAACATTGCTTTAATATATGATACTTAATTAGCTTTGACAGAACTCGCACAGAATGTTAATTCAATTGGTTAGTAGTAGCATCAGGGGTGAGGGGAGTGAACATGTATCTTGCTGTGTTTTCATAAGGAAAATCTTTTTCCCAGCCTGTTTGCTTATCTTGAAAAGAAAGGAAGGGAACTGGTTGAAGAATGCTTTTAAAAATTAAAGCTGTGTGAAACAGCACCATTTCATTTTGACTTCCGTTTTGAAGGGAGAGGCGTTTCATTTTGCTGTTTCAAACCACTGTTCCATTTTGCTTCACTGTTCTGACGCATTTTGACGTTTCACCCATTGGCTATAATGGGGAATCATGCAAATGCCTATAACTGTCATTTCTTGCTTGATTTGGATAAAAATCGCAGGGATGGTAGCCCCTTCCGAGGGCATGAATCCTGTCAAGTGCAGGGGCTTCTGGGAAACTGAACCTCAAGCTATTTGAAGCAAAACACTTATCACTTGCCAGCAGCAGCAGCCTGCTGTCATCCCACGCTCCCCAGGAGGGCTGTGGAGCTGTGCCGGACTCTTCCTGGGGGAGTGTGGGCCCCTGGATGTGTGCACAGGATGGCAGCATGCTGTTGCTGCCGGCTGAGGCCAGCGCCAGCACCCGAGTCTGCTTGGTGCAGCCCGTGCTGAGAGCCAGGAAGAACTCAGTGCTGGTGCTGGCCTGGGCTGGCAGCAGCACCATGTTGTCATCCTGTGTGTAGATCCAGGGGCCCAGGCCCCCTGGGAAGAGTCTGGCACAGCCCCTCAGCCCTCCCAAGGGGCGCAGGCCCCCGGATCTGCATGTGGGATGACAGCAGGCTGCTGCCGCTGGCTGGGACCAGTGGCAGCACCAGTCTTCCTGGCACTTAGCGTGGGCTGCACCAAGTGCTGGCCGCAGCCAGCAGCAGCAGCCTGCTGTCATCCTGTGTGCACATCCGGTGGTCCACATCCCTCAGGAGGAGTCTGGCACATCCCTGCAGCCCTTCCAGGGGGTCTGGGCCCCTGGATCTGCGTGCAGGGTTTCAGCAGGCTGCTGCTACCAGCTGGGGAAATAGCCCAAAGCCACCCCAATCCCCAGCTGGCAATGGCAGCCTGCTGTCATCTGGCATCATGCGCCCCCTGGGAAGAGCTGGGGGAAGCAATCAGAGGGCTGGGGAATTGAAGAGGGAGCTAGGTGTCAATATCAGAGCAGTCCTTCCCCCTCTGTCTTCTTAGTTTCTGTTTAGCTGCAAGCAAGACCAGCCCTCATTTTGTTTCAAAACTTTTTCAAAGCTTTTTGTTTCATTTCGATCTTGCTGTTTCAAGCTCGAAACTTGTTGAAACAGCTTCGACACGAAACACCCGGCAAAATTTCACACAGACCTATTAAAAATGTGATCTATTTAATTATATAATAGACCTTAAGTTCAAATTTTGCTTATATCCTTTGTTACTACTTTGGTTTCAGTCACTAAACAGTTTACTATGACCAAAATTCTTCAGTGAAACTCTGACTTCAATGCAGCTGCTAATGTTCTTTGTGTATTAACTGCAAATTCTAATTCACTGTGCCCTTTTGTTGCATAACAAACATATATAAACTTGTCAGATGTGGTGGGATTGGGCTCAAACTAGAAAATGTCGTGTTGTTTAATCTATTCTTTTGGATAACATGGTGTAAACCAAGGTCTATTCTGACTTTGTGGCTCAGTGGCCAAGGCACTTTTAAGGATGGGGAGAGCCTCTTTTTCAACATTATACTACAACAGATTCTGAAATAGAAAGTCGGAAATAAACGTTGAGTGTGTTAATAACTGTCCAGTTTTTGTTGTATCAACAATACAACAATATCTAACTTGATAGTATGTAAGGTACTGAGAGACTTCAACTCTGAAAAGTACCATGTAAAACCTAACTCTCATCTCTTAGATAGGTAACAGGTGGTAATAAGAATGCCAAAATAGAGAAAAACATTTCAAGAGACCCTTGAATTCATATCATGCAGTCTTGACATAACTTGTATACACAGGTTAATACATGTCCTTCTGTGAGATAAGTCATTTATCCCATGGGTAACCTTGTAAAAGCCACAGCTGGCATTTCAGAATGCTTCTTGTTCAATATCAAAGCAGTGCCTGGAACTTTCAAATAGAGAAGCACTCTTCATTAAGCAGCTGCAGCTTTGAAGTTGCCAAAGGAGAATTATTTGCTGGTTTAGATAAAGAAAGGAGGGGCTTGAAAGCACTTTGGGAGGAATTAAGGTTTGGATTCAATATCTCAATCCCTTTATAGAAAACTGCAAAAAGTTGGCTATTCCTTTCTAATCCACTAACACAGTTTCATATTTAACTTATGAATTCCTGCGTTCCCTTCCATGATCCTAATGAAAAAGATATTTATTTTTCCTCCTTTAAACTTTGAAATTAATTTTCTCAGCATTTTAGCATGCCTGGTTGTGGAAATAAGTTATGATATTCGACTGATTTCATAGTATTGCCACTATACATTTAAAAATCAAGAGTGATTTGAAATCATGAAATCTAAAATAAAAATTTAAGCGGGTTTTTGTTTTTGCCTTCTAGGTTTTGAGCCCTTAGTGTTCAGTTCAAGCTTTTCTGTGCAAACAATGTGGTCTAGAAACTTTCCGCTTTTAAAAAGAGCTTAGATTCTCAGTAATCATAAGACTCCAGAAGCTGGGTTTTCAGAAATACCATAAATGGAATAATTCACAGTAAAATATCAAGAACTGGCAACATTTTTCATGCAGTGCCTCATGATGGAGGTGGCTAGTAAAATATCCAGCTTAAGGTTTGTATAGTGTAGAGCAGGGGTGGGCAAAATGGCAGATCTAGCCGGCAGCCAGACTCCATTTCCCAGCAGCCCCTGCCTGCATGGCTGGAGCCAGTGTCCACCGAGCAGCTGCAGCTGCGTTGTGATAGCACAAGGCTAGGGTTGCCATGGAGACTAGCCCCAGCCATGCTGGCAGGGGGTGTGGCAGGGCACGGGGCTGCTCTGGAGCTTCTGGGATCTTGCTGCAGAGGTAACTTGGTTAGGGCCAGGGCAGAGCTGCAATATGCAGCCTGCACGCTCTGGGCAGGGGCGTGCAGGCAGTGAATCCCGGCTCTGCCCTGGCTTGGGACCATGCTGTCACTGCTGTAAGGAGCTGGGCAGAGCTGCAATCTGCAGCGTTCTGGGCAGGGACGTGCAAGTTGCAGATTGTAGCTCTGCCCCAGCTCCTTGCAGCAGTGACAGCCTGGTTCGGAGCAGGGACAGAGCCGTGATCCACTGCCTGCACGCCCCTGCCCAGAGCATGCAGGCTGCAGGTAGCAGCTCTGCCCTGGCCCCAACCAGGCTTCCCTCACCACAAGTTCCCAGCGGCTCTGGAGCAGCCCCCTGCCCTGCCACATGCCCTGTCAGTGAGGCTGGGGCCAGCCTTCATGGAACCCCAGCCTTGCACTATCACTGCGGCTGGGGTCTCCGTGGTGAGCAGCCACAGCCATGCAGGCAGGGGCCGCTGGGAAATGGAGTCCACTGCTGGCCGGATCTGGCCCGTGGGCGGGACTTTGCCCACCCTGGTACAGAATATAGTTTTTAGCTCTTGTAGCCCTTCTTTGCTTGAATTTGACAGCCAGTGTAACCATTCAGTCAGTCACAAACTGTATTTATAAACCATCATAAAGACTGAACTATTTTTTTTACCTCTAGGAAGTAATACTCCTTAACAGGGTTTAAAACAGAGGAGCGTTAAGAAGTCAGTTTGCTTCCGTCAAGGCTATTCCTTTTATCTAGATTAACAGCTTCAGTTTTTCAGGAGTATGGGTCCTTTCTCAGACAATGCAGTTTCTCAAGTTGAAAGAGATCTGAAGTTAAAATGAAAATGTGTGTTGTTCATTGAAGTTGGGACTTTGATGGAGTTTTTATATTGTATATTGGAGTACATATTTTATTAATTTACCAATTCTTCTCTTAATTATTTGACACACATCCTGGGTTATAGGATGTAACCGTGTTGGTTTAAGGACATAGGCAGGCAAGGTTTTTTGGGTAAATCCAATATCTTTTATTAGACCAACTCAAATATCTAATAAAGATATTGGTACATTTAAATTGTTTCTACTTGTGGCCTTTCTCCTAGAACACCTTAAAATAAATAACAGAAAAGAGATTTTTAATGGTATTCCTAACAAGATTGAAACAGGTACGATGCTAATTGATTACTTCTAACTTCTTTAAAATGAAACCAGACTGCCAATGGTGTAGCCTCTCGGGAGGAAGAAGAAATAAGCGAACTGCAGGAAGATGACAGAGACCAGTTTTCTGACCAGCTGGCAAGTGTTGGCATGCTGGGAAGAATTGCTGCAGAACACTGTATACCTCTTCTTACAAGGTACAGAGTAATTAATAAAGCTCTTATACTTTTGCTTAAATAATCTGATTAAAGTCTCGTGTTAAACAAAGTTTTTGTTTAGTTAAGTAGCTGCATTAATTTTGTTATTGTCTTTTTTCAGTTTATTAGAAGACCGAGTGACAAGGCTCCATGGTCAGTTACAAAGGCATCAGCAGCAGTTACTTGCCTCACCAGGATCAGGCTCAATTGACAATAAAGTGCTTGATGACCTGTATGAGGATATTCATTGGCTTATTTTAGTCACAGGTTAGTAGTAAGTTTTAAACACAAAACACTCGTATACAGCTCCTGAAACTGGAATTCCTCAACCAGACCTGCCTGTGTGTCCATCAGCCTGTATAGCTAATCCTTGTAATTGAGAATATGGTCATTATGGTTTTTTATGGTTATTTTTCATTGCATGTATTCTTTTCACACTAGAACAAATGAGCGTATTCTTTGTGCTGTAGCGGGACAGATAACTTTCATTCTTTGTCTTATTTCCTTTATGTTAACAGTCATGGGGGTATTTTTTCTTAAAGATATGCTAAACAACATTTTAACAGAAGATACTACATGTTTTTTGTTAACTCCTGTTTTAATCATATGTTTTTGACTGATTCATTCTGAAAAATATTCAGCTAAAATAATTAACTAGTTGTTAGCATTGAAAAAAACGGGAACTGAGACTGCTTGCGGGTATGTGATGCAAAGGATTTGGTATGGCTACATAAGTCATGAATGGCAAAAACCTGAGCAAGTTATGCTGGGCATCTTATATAGAGTTCCAGTGAAATATTGATGCAACTAAAATGGCATCTGCATCGTGCCTGATGCTAAGTAGGCTTGTACATTTTTACTCTCATTAGTGTTGTCTTTCATATCTGTTCATGAATCCAAATTGCTTTACTTACTCTGCCTATGTCCCAATGGCAGAAATAATGGAATAAAAACATATTTAAAAAAATAAAACAGGGTTTTATCATTTTAAATATTTTACCTCTTAGTAATTCCAGCTTTTGATACAAGTGTATTGATACTACTTGTGTAACCATACATTTAATCCCATGGGATTAAGTGTATATCTCTAGCTCTGATGGGTATGGTATCAAACTCAAACTGTGATAAAACCAGGAGTGAATATGCTTTTTCCTGGACAACAGATAAGTGCTTTAAAAATGCCTTTGTCTCCTTGATGTACATTTGCAAAGGAAATAAGGAAACATTGGTTGTTCCTAGTTTGTTTGCTGTGCTTTTAAAAACTGCTTAGAGGCATAGAAAGTTAGCAGTGCAGAAATTCCAACTGTGGATTAACAGGTGGAATGCAAATGAATTCTACCTGTAAAATCATATTTTTCACAAGAAGAAAACTGAACAAAGCAAGCAATTTAGTCATATATAAAGTCTGACTCATCTGTAGATATAAGCTATAGCATCTGCTGCTGAATGGGGCACTATTTCTGTATTTTATTTGGTCATTACTCTTTCAGCCTAGTTTCTTGTTTATAATTTTAGGGCTGCTGCTTCCATTTATACACAGAAAATTGATGTGTATAATTAACATTAAGGTACTTACTAGTTAATGTTAGGGTCTATACAGATTTTATGTCAGTGACTTTTAATGTCTGCTATAAGGTCAGAAGAGAATCCAACAAAAACTTAACCTAGGTTAGTGAACTTTTGGTGACTTACCTTCTGTATTTCTTAAGGCTACCTCTTAGCTAATGATACTCAGGGAGAGACTCCGTTAATACCTCCAGAAGTAATGGAATATTCCATTAAGCATTCAACTGAGGTTGACATCAATACAACACTTCAAATTTTGGGATCTCCAGGAGAAAAGGCCTCTTCCATCCCAGGGTACAACAGAACCGATTCTGTCATTAGGTAAGAATGTATTACAGTGTGTTAGCATAAATTATCCCACAAATTTACATAGATAGAAACAAATCTTGAATATTGATGGCTTCAGATGTAGAAAGGAGAGTAGATGTATTAACACTGGAATGGAAAAGAGATTTATTTTGCATGAAATTTAGAATGGGTAATGGTTTATCAGACTGGTTATAACAAATGGATTGTAAGGAATGCTATAGAAGGGGTAAAAAGGTGGTAAGAATTGTAGGATAAAATAAATGAGATTGTTTTGTGATTAAATTTGAAGCTAAAGGCAATTCAGTGGTCTAGAAAAAATTTGTTCTGGAAACAGTGAAAAATGGAGCAACACAAGCATGAGTGCTAAAGTTGGAGAGCTGAAGTCAGCGGATGAGTAAATAGAGAATCATGAGGAAGAGACCAGACAAATGATTGGAGAGAGAGAGATACAATTAGATTTCAGCAGAGATGGGTGGATTTTGGTGCTACAAGTGCCTTCGCTAGTAAATACGAAGATCCAATACAAATGTTTTCGTTCCTTGAATTATCATAGTGTACGAGAATAAATCTTATTTGAAGTGTGAAGATAGAATTGTGTAACTGAATTAACTGTGTAATGCCTTCTATAGAACAGTAACAAAACAAGTAGTTTCCAAATTATAAAATGGGCTTTTCTAACAAGAATAACCAGTACTTGTGATTGCTGCAAGAGTAGGTCAGCTGGCCCTGAGTGCAGATAAAATGTTGTCACTTGTACGTGCACAGTAACTGGCCTATTTTAAGGAACAGTATGAGAGCTACAAAAGAAACTTCTGTCCATTTTTAGAAGGAGGATGATACCCATAAACCAGGGTCCCAAACATTGGAAATTAAAAGTAAGGCATGGCACATTGTACTCTAATGGCTATGAAAGATGCTGTACCCTAGTTTTTGTTTTGTTTTGTTTTAATTTCTGTCTTATGTTAATCTTAACTAGGAAGCTAGAGATGGCTTTTTGTCTCCATCAGTTCCCTGGATTGTCAGGTGCACAAGTTATATGGCAACATTATACTTAGTCCCTGTACAACAAAAGAGCACTCTGTTTTTCAGTGATAATTTTTCCACGTAGCTGATAAGAGGCAATGAAAGCAATATTTTCTACTCCAGCATTCTGTAGTGGGGAGAGAATCTGGGCTAAATGGAGGGAGTCCGAAGGTTTCTTGAGAACTGGGATGGAGGGAGGTGTGTTACTCCTATAGCAATCAAAATAAGAAGAAACTGTTTACTGCTTCTGCATTTGTGTTGCAGTTTGTACCAGGCTGCAAAAACTGTACACGTAAGACTGCCAAAAGTTTGTAGCTAAGGTTAAGGGGGGGAAGGGGAAGAAAGGGAAAGGTATCCTGTCTGTAGAGTACTTGGCATTATTCCAGTTGGACAGCTTCCTATTTCCCCTGATGTCAGAGCACTGGAGAGCATTCTGTGTACTGCAATAATTTCAGAGTCTAATTTCAAAGTCAGAGCTGTTCCCCTTTGCCACCTTGACTTCAGTCTTAAACTATTTCTGTCCCATCCCCATCCTCCTGTGTAAAGAGAGACTATTCATAGAGACTGCTTACAGATGTAAAAAGAAACAAACCAAGAAAAGCTCCCCAACACTTTACTTTAAACTCTGCGCACCCCCACACCGAAACCAGCACATGCCCAGAAGACGCATCACATTAGTTGGACTCACCCAATACCAGTCTAGATTGTGGGGCTTTTTTGGTAGTTTTATCTAATAGCTGATTGAAATAGCTTTAGATAAAAGTGACCAGAAAGCCCTGCTGAAGCATCTGATCTATGCAGATGCTGCAGAACTGGGCCAAACTAACACACTGGTTATTCCAGTAAGGCATTTCTTAACTTTTGTAAGCAGCCAGAGTGTTTGCATGACTGTATTGAGGCATAAATATTTGGGCTTCATAATTTTTTTTCACTGTATTCCATGAAGAAGAGAAAACTTTGAGACAATGCAGTGTTGGGGAAATTGACTCTACTTAAAGGGAAAAAAAACATCCAAAATCAGTCATGTATCTTAATTGTACTTCATATCTGCAGGTTATTATCTGCCATCCTAAGAGTTTCAGAAGTAGAATCTCGAGCAATAAGGGCAAATCTAACACACCTTCTGAGCCCACAAATGGGAAAAGATATTGTCTGGTTTCTTAAGCGCTGGGCAAAGACCTATCTCCTAGTGGATGAAAAGCTGTATGACCAGGTAAGAACAGAATTGCAGTTGTGATTGCAATAATTGACTAAATAATAGGCAGTAATACTCTTTAATGAAAGCAGATGTTGATGTGTATTTTGAACTTCAAGTGTCAGGGGTTTATAACATGCAAACAGTTGTTTATTTTTAAAACTCAATGTGCACAGTTGTAGTCTGAAAAGTGGGCCCTTTTCCCAAGGAAAAAAATTAAATAGTAAATGTCCACACTCGTGGGTTTTTTGTTTTGTTTTGTTTTTTGTTTTAAATGTAATTGTATAGGGTTTGACATGGAAAAATTTCTGCTTTGTGGTTCCATAGGTAGAACATATTTTTTGCCAAAGTTTTGGCAATCATGATCCTGTCTTTCAATCTGTGTTGTCATCTGTAGTGCAGTGATTGTGGTACATTGCCTGGTAATACAATGGCTAGGGAGGGAGTTTGGCAGTGATTCTGTAATCTCTTTCAACATTTTTATGTATTTTCTTTTAAATGAAGAAGGGTTAGGTGAACCAAAAAAATCCATTAAAATTTGAAATTATTCTCTTAGCTAATAGATGTTACCTTATGTTGTTATCCTTTTCTTGTCCCATTTATTGTGTTCTATACTTACCTGTCATGCACTGCTGCTATTTCAGTTGCAAAAATCTGTGGTGTAGGGGTAGTCTCTTATGCTGCTAGCACAGTACTGAGTACAGTGCAGATTTAACACAATTTGGACATCTGGAAATAATCATAATATAGCCGAAATATGAGGAAGAATAGACGCTGTCAGTAAATTATATAAAATAATAAAATAAAGATTACCAAGAACATTTCTACCATCATTTTTTGTGATCATATAGTTTTATATGATGAAAATAACGGAAAATTTGAAATTGAGCATGCTCACAGTGTACTGATATAGAATTTCTTGCAAAAAGTTATATTCAAATTCCTGAGACTCAATTTTTAAGGAATTTATTTTGTAAAGAACAAGAATTTTTATTTACCTGGAATTTTCAGAAGAAACAGATAGTAACATATCCAAGTCTAAAGATAAAATCCTTCCCCAGAATATTGCATATGGAACAAATTCCAGGGACCAGCTACAGAAAATATTCACTACAGCCATGACAGATGTGGAAAAAAACCCCAAAATAACCTAGCGCTTTACCAGAACAGACATTGCATCAGTTTGACTTGGCTCACCCAACGTCTATATAGATTGCACACTTCAGTGTGGCATTTTGGTGCTTTTATCACAGCTTGCATGTGTTCCTTGATTGAATCAGCTATTGGATAAAAGCTACAAAAAGCCCTGCTAAAACATGCAATCTATACAGACGTTGGGCAGGCCGAGACAAACTAACTCATTGCCTCTTCTAGGCATGCACTGCGCTCAGTGCGGGGGTGTGCCAGGCTGAAAGTAAAGCGCTGTTTGGTTTTTGTGTTTTCCTGTTGGTAAGCAGTCTATGTGATAGTGCAATATCTTGCAAGGCTCCCTTTGGTTGAAAACTCTACAACTGCTCGGTTTGCTGCTATCAGATTCTTCAGTCCTCAGGAATTTTTCTTAAAGTGCTTATGGAATTCTTTTTTTTAAGTGTTGAACAAACATTGGTAGGGTGAAAGCTAGATGTTAGACATATAAAGTTGATTATTGTAATAAAGTTGAAATTTGTTTTCTGCTTTTTGCCATTGCACTTAAAAGTAGGTCTCGTTTGTTGCCCATTTTTAAAAAAATTCTTTTATCAGCAAGAATTTTGTGTTTTAAGGAAAGAGGGAAGGTCTGAAAACAAGTTGCTGTTCGGTTGCCATATACGTTATTTTGCGTATTGTAAACTTCATTTATTTAATTCTTTTTCTTGTAGATAAGTCTGCCATTTAATACAGCTTTTGGTGCCGATACCGAGGGTTCACAGTGGATTGTGGGTTATCTGTTAGAAAAAGTAATCAGTAACCTGGCAGTATGGAGTTCTGAACAGGACCTTGCAAATGACACTGTGCAACTGCTAGTAACATTGGTGGAGAGGAGAGAGCGGTAGGTTGAAGATCTAGCCAAGCCCAGACTTTTCTTTTGCATCTTTTAAAATTATATTGGGCCAAAAATAAGACAAATGCAGTATCTCTTACAGGGTATTTATGGTTGTGCTTCTGGTTGAGAATTAAAGCATTAGAAATTCACAAGCATATAATGTAGATTTTTATGAACAAATGTATACACGTTCATACAAACCAAACAGCTTGCCGTGTGTTCCCTAGTTTTCAAGTAATAAGCACCTCCCAGGTTACATTAATTTGTTACCAGCTTTATGCTTCTGTAACTCAACTGATGTAAGTGGAGTGTTACAAATATAAAGCTAGTATAACAGTGGGGTTTTCTTTTGTGCTTATCACTGTAGAATCTGAACACTTCAGAAATTGTAACTAACTTATTTTACAGGAGCACTGTAAAAATGGGGCGGGCATGTTATTCATACTTTACAAATGAGAAATTTGAGGCACAGAGACACTAATGTATCTACTAATGTTCATTTTCCAACATTAGTGACACCTGAGGCCTAGCACAGTGGTCAGCAACATTTCTGGGCAGAGTGCCAAAAACACCTAAGCCTTATGGGCTAGATGTGTGGTTCCAACCATCCCTTACCACGCCTCATGCCTTGCAGATAGTATATTGATATCATCTACACTTTACAAACTCATCAGGGAGGCCAGCAAGAAATGTTTACCAGGGTGCCTGTCGAAGTAACTAGAAATAATGGTCACAAACTGGAAGAGAGCAAATTCAGATTGGACATCAGGAAGAAATCCTTTACACTGAGGATTGCCAAAATATGGAATAAGATTCCAAGGGAGGTGGTGCTGTCCCCTTCCTTGAAGGCGTTTAAAAGGAGATTGGACAGGCACCATTCCTGCCCAGGGCAGGGGGTCGGACTCGATGATCTAATGGGTCCCTTCTGACCCTAACATCTATGAAACCTTGACTTGGCATATCAGGGGCAGACAGTTGGAGAGCCAGGAGGGGGGGCAGTGCATCCCTGGCCCCTTCCCCGCTGTCTGCCTTGAGGCATGCTGCATGCATGCCAAACAAAATGCCTTTGCATACTACACTCTGGCACCTATGCCAGGGGTTGCCTACCCCTAATCTAGCTTATTACACTTAATATGTTCAAAGCACAGGTCAAAATTACTGCTGTGATTTGTCAGCAGTTCCATAGATATGCCAGGGTCTCAAGTCAGGCACTCATATTAGACAGGTGACTGTAATTGTTTACGTTTCCTTACTTTTAGGTAACAAGTCAAGTACTCAAAAAATATTCTTTTAATGGAAGTTTTATATGTGTGTATATAACTTGCTTGTTTTCTAAATGGCTGTAAGCCCAAGTTTAATAAAAGTTTGAATGAGGGAAAGGGAGAGTGAGCTTGGAAAAAAAAGGAAGCAGTATTGAAGGGGGGGTCTGGAAGAAGGGAGAAGGAAGGAGTGGGTAGAGTGACAGAAGTGAGATAATGGTTGTGGCAGGAGTTGCACTAGAAGATTTGAAATACGAGATTCGGTACTTAATCTTTCTATGCACACAAGTATTAGACGCAACAGAAGGACCACCTCCTGTTATAGGTTGGCTGGAGTGGTCGTACTGTGTCCTCTCATGAGATTGGATATAGACTGAGTCTTTTTCCTGTGGTTGAAGCATGCTTACCTGAAGACCAGTAGAAGTGGCTCAGAAATGAACTTCCTTCTCATTGTTTGAACTTTGTTCATTTCTGGGCCACTTCTACTGGTCTTCAGGTGAACAGGCTTGAACCACAGGAAAGACTTACCATATTTACTTTGAGTATTAGATGGTCCTGATTATAAGACAATCCCCCAATAATCAGATTCTGTATATAGAAAATGTGTAAGTTTTATATTCTTTTCCAGGTATAAAATCTAATTATTGAAGGCTTGTCTTGCATTTGCAACCTCCCACTGTTATAGCAGGGAAAATAAATCTGGGGGGGGTCAGGTAGCCCCTTTGCCCTCTACCCCCAAACCACCAACTTCTTTCCCCTGCAGCCCCTTTCCCCCTCCTTACTATCAGACCCTGCTCTCCCTGAGCACATGGAAGTGAGGAAAAATTTGAAAAAACGGGCCTTGAAATAAACATAGCTGTGGCAATTTACATATAATACCCATAGAATTAGTTCACCCAGAAATTATGCATTTTACCCTTTTTTTTGAAGCTGGTGCTGCAAGTTTTAGTACAGATACTCCATAAACACACTTTTAAGTAGTGCTTAGCACCTACGTAGAGTACAAACTATACATGATATTAGTTCAAAGCCAAAAGGCTCATGATTTATCATACAGTTCATTGGGTTGTGCTTCTCCAGCATTTCAAGCCATAGTGACCGCACGGCTCAGCACTGCTCAGTAT